GCATACCCTACTCTAAAATCCTGGGTCCGCCACTGTGTTGTGTGTGTATAAAGCTAGTATCGACGACAAGGCTGGTGCTAAATGCATGGTGCGTACGTGCCATGATACGCGAAATGAAATCCGACAGGGGACCGACCTGTTGGGGTCTCACATGGAGATGGAATCGCAGCAGCGGATCGCATGCATGGAATCCAATGCGGAAACACCCATTATTAATAAAACAAAACTATATAGATCGATGCATCATCTCATGATACCAAAAGAAACATATATAATATATATCGGTGCAGCCTGAGAAAGCGACCCCCGTATACTTGACATCTACTGCTGCTGATGCTCTCTCTCTCTTTCTCACTGTTGTTATTATTAGTTGGATCCAATCCTAGCTTCAATAATTCACAGCTTCCATGAAACAATAAATATTGTAAAGGAAATGAAATGTCAACTCGACTGACGGCTCATGCTCAGATCTACATCTACTATGCATGCTCTGCTTGCCCGCTCAGTTCTCACGCATGGGTTTAATTGTCCGTGCATCTTACATTTGCACCCTTGTAATTACGAGCGCCTGTTGTACGTAGTAAATTCGTATAGTTCATTTTTTTCAGCTTTTGTTTTTCCTTTAAATATATCAGATGTGACACTCATTTGAGTGTCTTTATAAAAAAAAGCCCGCATTGCCTATAAAAAAATATACAGTGTTTTGTTACAATGAAGAAAATAACTTGAAACAGCTTACTCTTGTTATTAATCAAAGGTCTTGTGAGAGAAGGCCGATGTTTTGTTTGACAAAGGTTCTGTTCACTTGAGCTTATAAGCCAGAATCAGCCTTACTTTTACAGCCATAAAACAGTGTTTTTCTCTCACAACAAATCAGCCCTACAAATCAGCCGCAACAGCAATAAGTCCTGCCGAACAGAGCCAAAGTTCACCTACAAGATAAGTTGCTTGTTAAAAAGAAGAATACATTTCTATCATAGTATCAAGTAAAAAAATTGAGCTTGACCAAATTTTTTTAAAGTGTCAATGTTTATACTAACAATAGATTTGTCGTGAGATGTATTTTTCATAATACACTATTTTGTGTTATAAGTATTGATACCTTCTTCTATAGACTTGATCGAAGTTTAAAAAGTTTGACTAGAGATTGCGCCTGTCCCTAGACGGAGGTGCAGTGGCAGTAGAGTTTATAAGATTAACATGGAAAAAGGAACATTTTTTGTTTATAAGGAAAAAAACATGAGGAATCCACGCTGTATGTCTGTACCGAGGATAAAGAGAAAATGGTCCAGAGATCTGTCTGTGTACCGGATAATGATATATGCCGTGTTGTCACCTGTCACACCAGGAACAGGTAGGCCCATCTGCGCAAAAACCTGAGATATACAGGGGCGCATCTGCAAAAGAGGATTTGGTGTGTTTGACTGTGCAGTGTTCACGGAATCCGAGTAAAATAAAGAGAAGGAGAAGGCTTGACCGTGGGCGGTGTTGGACTGCGTCGTCAATGGAAAATGGATGATGGATAGGGGTTTCCAAGACATGCAGGTGATTTCCCAGTTCCGTAGGCACTGTAGTTGATTTCACTGTGGCCAACTACTGCATCATCTATGGTGCTTCCTTTTCTGCAATAACCTTTTGCCCTGGCTTTGGTCGACAAACGGGATAATTGCTCATGCCACCGGCAGGGGGTTATATTTACCGTACCACCCGAATGTCCCGGAGGACGGTGCCGCCACCTTTTGCACTGGGTCCCTCGTTCCTAATATATAATGACCGTTCACGTGTCCTTAAATTCGGTTTGATTCGCTTTTTTTTTTCATTCGGAACGATATTTTCCTCTTACATATTTCTTCAAATTCCTCCAAGCAACGGGGCTTATGTGGACAGGTGGTAGCCACAAGCTAAGTGAGACATGGAGCTCGATACCTGCTGTTTGAATTTATCAGCTTGGTTTATCATATAATATTTTTTCTCACAACAAATCAGCGAACAATACTTTTCAATTTAACTTTTCAGCGAAGCGAACAAGGTATCTAGAGTATACAGTAGCTTTTTCCATCGATCTTTTTGTTTTCATATTGCTTTGTTAGAGGAAACGACTTGTTAATAAATTATATATATATATATATATATATATATATATATATATATATATATAGAACTACTGTTCTGTAGCTGGCCATAGAATAACTTATTTTGTGGCCACTTTGAGTTACGATAATTACTATTCTAATTTACGTGATTACAGTAACTCCTTACTAAGTGATTTACTATAACATTATGGTAAATATCATCGTGAGTTGTAGTAACACGAGTATCGTAAATGCATATCATATTATCGTAAATTGGTACAAACATTATCGTAAATCAAGGTGGCTATAGAAAATAAGTTATTCTATGGCCAACTGCAGAATAATCTATATATATATATATATATATATATATATATATATATATATATATATATATAATCAATAAATCACGTTGCGTATGTGTACATACTCATTTATCAGTTGGAGTATGTTGACATATTAATATTAAGATACTCCAAATCTTTACAATGTGAAAAAATTTCAAAAGAGCACATGTTTTTAATATATTATATAATACTATGATAGTAGCATATAAAATAAGTATAACCATATACTATAAGTATACATACATACTTGTCATACATAGTACCCTAGATGGTCTAGTACGATAATATACTCCATCTAATACACTTCGTCGGGCCATATACGTCCTAAATCTAGAGATATAGGAGTAACTATGGGAGAGTAAAATACTCCATATATAGTATATATATATATATATAATATATATATATATATATATATATATATATATATATATATATATATATATATATATATACGTATATATATCGTCCATCGACAGGGATAATGGTATGCGATACTTCTTCCGACATACTTGTGTTCTGACAGACATGGCACAATAAGGCATCCCTCTAAAGATATGTATGGTATTGATTTTCGAATAGCTCCTGAAGCTGTTTTTGAACAAGGCCATCCAAATGGGTTATGAAGATGCCACTTCTTGTATGAAGCCCCGAATTTCCTGCTCTCTAATAAAGCGGCAGGCGGAAGGAGCCAAAAAAAACTAGGTTCACCCGGCTCCATCTCTCATGCTTGCGAGCCTAGGCAAAAATGCCCCTCCTCCATGTGCGTAAGCAACAGGAGTGCTGACGGCAGATCGGAGCTGAGGAGGAGCATCGTCGTCGGGGCTCCATCGGCGCGGATCTGGTGGAGTCAAGGCAGGGGCTGCTGGGACGTGACACCGTCGGGCCTATGGAGGCTCCGGGTCCGGGGCGGAGCGTTGCCGCCGAGGCTCCATCGGGGCAGATCTGGTGGAGTCGAGGCAGGGCCACGGGGCCACTGGGGCGCGAGGTGGTTTACAATTGCATGCTGTGACCTTCATATATATTCGAGCTTTAACTTGGCACGGGGTTACACGGAGCCTGCCTGCCTGCCCGCCCTGCATTACACAAAGACTTAATGTACTTGCAATTGGAAGTGAAAGGGATACACGTATACACATATATATGTTTTGTCACACAAGTCAATCGCCGTTAGCCCGTTAATATGATGTGCCTGTGCTGCCTGCCTGCCTGCCTGCCAATAAGCAAGGAACACCACCATGCATCACCATACATACATGCTGCATGCAGATCCCTGTTGCTGCATAAGTATATGCATCCACCACCATGCATCACCATACATACATGCTGCATGCAGCTATCAGACGGCAGATGCACAATGGCAATGGGCAATAGCAGATTGACAACAGAGACCAGCAGCAGAGCCAGGAACGAGCCATCTCCGCCATTACTGCGGCGAAAGCTCCTCGCCTCCTCCCGGGGCAGCTGCAGCATCCATCGATCGCACTCGCACTACCATGCATGCAACAAACAGCAGGCACGACGGACGCTGTAAATACGACCTCAATATACATATCTCGTCCATCTGCCACGCGCCCCGCGCCATTAATGGCGTCAGCTGGCCATCCATCCACGCCATCGCACTGGCGCGGTAGTCCCAGTCCCGTCGCCGCCGCGCCTTCACGTGCTCCCCGCCCCCGCTGCCGGAACCAGCCGACGCCCCGACGGCGACGCAAATAAACCGGCCGGCGCCGCTGCACTGCATCGTTTTCTCGGCCACGTGACACCCCCAAACTTTCGCCGTCGGGAACCATACTGCTTGCACGCCAATGCCATCGAGTAGATAGTCGACATTTTTGTTTTGTTTTGGAACAGTCGCCGATATAGATGTACAAGTATATGATGGTGAGCATGCAGTGCAATGCAACTGAACCGATGGAGACCTGTGGCCTGCCCTGCCTACGATCCTAGGATACCACGGACGCTAGACTGGTCATGCAACGCACGCAGCATGCACGGAGGACGGGTCGCTGCCACACTGCACCATCAACCAACGAATTAACGAATAACCTACTGGCCAGAACAGGATTGAAGGTGCTGGTCTCTTCTTCTTCCCCTCTCTCTCCATTTTTCTTCTTTCCTCCACCTCTTCTTCTCTCTCACCCTCCCTATTTTCCATTGATGCACCAGCTGTAGGGTAAATAGATTTTGCTGTCTTCCATAAGAGCACAGCGAGATCATCTTAACTAACATAGAACTTGTGACCGGATCACTTGAGTAAATAGATTTTTTTCCTGAAAAAACAATGAAACTGAAATACCCCCACCAACCAAGCCTTTTGTATACACTAAAAATACAACACGCTCACTGCATAACAGCGCAAAACAACTGAGCAGCAAAATTTCAGAGTCCCTCGGCTCGGCGCAGAGGAAGCCCTTACACAGATCCCATTCCACTGGTTACAACTTTCACAATACGGCGGGCAAGCTCTCCTCCTGCCTGCCTGAGAAAACAGCCGGCTATTTTCAGACAGACGAAAACCAAGGCTGTGCAGGATCAGGAATCCATCCATCGACAATTGTTCATTTGCCCCACGCTTAAGTTAAGCTGCTGCTTCCTTGAATATACGGGGGAGGACTTCATGGATGCCGATGTCCAAGGCCTCAGGGCTCCTGCACACGAGCAATAAAGAGGGGGCGCATTGTACAGCAGTCAGTACATCCACTGTCCTAACTCTTGTGACTACCATAAAGAGGAGGACGGACGCCGAGATTTTGATAGGGGGCACGGCTGCCTATCCAACAGGTTAGGAAAGCAGGAAAGCAAACCGGAATGCGTGGATGATGAAGGGGGCGTGTAAACTGTAAAGTACAGAGCGGTGCAACGGATGGTGCATCTAAGGTCAGAGAAAGCGGAGGGCATCACAGGACAACGGATAATGCTAACAGCTGGTGATGGTTGGTGGCTGAAGGATGCCAGGTTTGTCATTTCCGTTTTCCATTTGACAATTACAGGCACAATTCACTTGTGGTTAACTAGCACCGACAAACAAACTGTTGGTCGTACTCTAGTAAGCATGATCGTCTGAACTCTGAACATAGCATCAAGGTGAACAGTACAGCAGCACATAGACAGCTATGAAGAGGATTCTTCAGACTTCAGCTAAATTTTAACTATTGACATTTTTACAAGACACCGATTTTGGAAGTTGAGACTAATTCTGAACTGGCTAACTGTCATGTAGGAAAGTAATGCACAGAGAGAGAGAGATTTACCTGCACAATGTTCGTCCCTTCTCTTTTGTGCTAGGCACAAACCATATCTTCCTCAGAGCTGGTGACTCAAATTGCACAAAGAACCCGTCACTCTGGTCAAGCTTCCACTTTCTGGATCCTTGCCCTTTCCAGACCTGTATGTAATACAACATGTTAGCCTTCCTCTTCAATCTGGTACACACACAATACAATCTAAAGTGTCAACACTGACAATGCTCAACACCAACTTTCATGAAAAGCAACAAAAAGTGCAAAGCTAGCAGCAACTAATTATAGGAAAACATAGTTCAACAAAAAGAGCAGGAGTAGGTGAGTTGAACCTGTGGGTAGGAAATGATGCTCTTAGGTGACACCATACAAGCAGCCCTCGCAAAAGAATTCTCCATATTGTCATATATGTGAAGCACTCTGCAATATGTGTTGGGCACTCTGCATGAGTGTTGGGGGTTGTTCAAATGCCTAAGTGGGAGAAAAACATAAAATTTCATTAAATAGGAAAATTTTAGCATTAAGCTCTTGGTATACATTTGTTTGTACAATACAGAAGTTTATGACAACTTTGTCAAGTTGCAAAATAAAGTGCTCTGCAGCAGCATAGTACCTTGTCAATGTTAACTACTGGGGCATATTTTTCAGTATCAGTCTTCTGATCGAGAAGAAAATTGACCCTTGGATCTACATTTCCTGTGTCATGCCAAACCTTTATTGCTGATTCTATCACATTTACAATGAAAGAAAAGATACTCTGCCCTGTTTCTGCATCTCCATACTTTGCAGCCTGAAAAAAAAAATACACGGAGATTTAACACACAAATGAGAGCAACTCCAACAGAAGAGTTATCCATGTTGTGTAATCTATATTTGAGTATTTTGGAGAGAAAAAAAGGCAGTCCAACAGCTATTTTATCTGTTTTTCTAAAATAGCAAGTCATGTATCCCGGATTTCTCGCATGCTAGATATAGCTTGCATGTGCCGCTAGCCATTCGCCTCACCCTATTGGAAAGGCTGTTGGAGTTTTCTGTTTTTTTTGCTGGGGTTTCTATTTTAGAGGTTGGCTAAATTATGAGTTTAGCTATCTATTTTTACCAACTCTGTTGTAGTTGCTCTGACAAAAGATATCTCATCTAAAATAGTCTCTTTTCTTGGTTATTCCTGGAGCACTCAAACGGGTAGCATAAAAATGGACTTCATGAACCTGATATAGTCTAGAAGGTGCATAAGAATACACACTTACATTTTAGAAAGAATATCCCCTTGATTAAAGGGTTACCTATAATCCTATATTGCCGTGATGAAAGAAAACCAAGATACGGTAGTCTAGAAGGATGCTGAATATAGCTTCTTGACTTCTTGTCACGGCAATTTCATACACAGTACCATTGAACATTAAAAGAAGTAAAACTTGTACTCATAAGTCAAAACAGTAAAACTCACCAACTCAGTCTTCAGTGATTCTAAGTTCTTTGCAATGTCAACATTTGAACGCATGTTCTCTACATCAAGGGCTCGCTTCTTTTCCCTGGCCAACTGAGAAAGCCTCTTGATTTTTCTTGAGACTTCTGCATTTTGTGAATTGTGCTGCAAAGCTATCTGAAATGCAGCTATTGCCTACACCAGGGGAAACGTAACAAATCAGATAAATCTCCATTTAGTGGAGGGAAACCATCAAAGAAATTGTTTGTATAGATATTGCCTCAGATGCTAGAATCAAAGAGGGTATTTAGTGTCACTTAAACAAATTAGCCAGAAATACAAGAATTGTACTTGGGAAGATGAAACCAGGAGCAACAAAGGAAGGCTGTGGTTCAGTTACAAAATAAAACCCCAAATTAGGCACCAACACAGGTCAAGGTTATCTGGTAGCAGCCGAGAACCAGTAGCCGATTGACGGAAGTGAGTGTAGAAACAGTGTGTACATTGTAACAGCATAAAGTAACAAACTGAAGCAAAGTACAGGACAGGTGTTCATCCAATTTTTTCCCTTACAATGAGCATCACTAAGTCATCTGAACTCCATTTGCTGAACTTTGCAACTAACAAATGCAATCCATATGCAAAGCATTCAAATTTCATTTCTTGATTTGCTAGGGCATGGAAGACTTGGTCCAAGTTTATGAAACAGACGAAAGAGAAGATTGCATAAAACCCCTCACTATGTCAAAGTAACAAGGATCTTTCATTTTAGTCTCACCTCTTCATAGCGCTCCATTGCCTCCAAAACACAACCTTTCCTGAAATGACCCTATATCACAACAAAGAACAAGATGTGAAATCTGACAACTGAGTAAGTGGCAAACTCAAAATCAGTGAGCACTTTGAGAAATTATATACCTTCTCCCACTGTGGTTTCAACTTGACTGTTGTCTCTGCATCAGCAAGTGCTTTGCTAAGCTTAACCAACTGCAGGAATGCTGCAGCTCGGTTGCTGGCAGGGATTTAAATGAAAAAACATAAATCAGCATTTTAAGAGCTTGTCAACAAGAGAAGTATGATATAGATAGTCGCTGGCTGTTCTAGTAAGGTACAAAGAAAGCAATTCAAGTTTGCAATTGTTTTTACCATCTCCTGAATTAAACACACGGCTGGAAGCTCCCCTTATGCTAATTCAAAAACATAATCAACACTTTCTAGTTTCACTAACCATACTATAATTGGGAACTTTATGGTTCCGGTGTTCCCCTGTATGTAGGTTCTTTAATTATTTGTATAAATATTCATTTCACAAATGATATTGTAAAAGGTTTTGGGTTTAGAATACCAAGTTATGTGCACAGACTATATCATAAATGAACTGAAGGAAGAACTCTTTCAATGCTTGTGTAGATCTTTCAAGTCAGCTAGTGTTACAACTATAGTATCACAAACAAGAAAAGAGTCCACAGTTTTTGTCGCATCATTTTAATTTATTCTGGAGGTACACATATAAATGTCAGCTCTACAAAAAGCACAGACTAAGGTATTTTGGAACGGAATGTGTTTTTTCTTTCCTTTCCTGTTAGGGAATATTAATTGTATTTGCATCCAAAAGTAACGCCGCTCTCGTCAGCTACATAGGAATAATGTGAGATCACTGGGTTTTATCCATATAATAACGACAAAATGGCATCCCAGATACTCACCCATTCGGCCGTGTCGTTACATGACCAGATCTTTGAGTTGCAGTATTGTAGACACCCATTGGGCATCATCAACAGGTAACGTCAAATCATCAGATTCAGGATGTTATGTCACAGGAATATGCCTAGATTCAGAATCTTGAGCACTAGAAGCACAAACCTAATCTACAATAGCATCCAAACCATAAACGGAATCTCTCAGCAGCTTAATTTGCATTTTTAACAGGCTGAAAGAAGCCGACAAATCATCACACCATATTCGCAACAATCCCTGTGTCACGGCAAATCAACCACAAACACTCAATCTCACTTACAGAGCCTCTCAGCACCCCCTCCCCACTCCCCAAACCCAACACACACACACACAAAATCCGCAATCCCCACTACCAGTGTACACTCAGACCGCAGGACTCAAACACTGATCAGTGATCACCTCCCACCCCACAAGTATCTGACACACCCACGCCACAGCTCTCCGTCGCTTCCCCCAAACGCAGGACGGGCCCACGCGCAGCTAGGGTTTCTACCACCGGCACGGCCGAGACGGAAGAGGAGTGGGGGGCAGCGGAAGGAACCTGTAGAGGGTGGCGTTGTCGGGGTCGAGCTTGATGGCCTGCGTGTAGAGCGCGGCGGCCTTGAGGTAGCTCCCCGCCTTGAACTGCTCATTCCCCTGGTCCTTGAGCTTCGCCGCCGCCGCCGCAGGAGGCCCTCCTTCTCCTCCTCCGCCGTCCGCCATCGCCGCCGCCGCCGCCGCCGCCGCCAGGTGGGTCCGCGGGGTTAGGGTTTTGGGGTCCACGAGCTCCCCCGCTCGTTTTCGTTTCCTTTTTTTTTTTTATTATTTTTCGCAGCTTTTCTTTCTCCCTGTTTTCTGCAGCAGGATCGAGAAAAAAGCACGTGCGCGGCACCGTAATACGGTATACCGACCCTCTCTTGCACACGGGGCCCCCACTAACGAGCGAACATTCCTCCGGTACCAAATCAGCGATCAAATTTCCGAGCACCTGTTCGTTTCGTGGTATTAGGCTTATAAGTTTCAGCCAATAAATAGTATTTTTTTATCGCACCAAACCAGCCAATCGTACTTTCAATAATGGCTTATAAGCTAAACCAACCCAAACGAACATGGTGAAGCATAATGTCCTTTGAGGTAAATGCATCGTAGGCCCTTGAATTTGTCTTCGAGTGCCACTTAGGTCCACAAACTCTCTAATCGTACTTTTGGCATCATAATATTGTTTAAATATGTCATTTAGATCTGTGACTCATCGGAACAAGGTTTTGATCGACGTGGCATGGACAGAGCGCACGTGGCGTCGCTGAGCCAGCTCGAGAGCCTTCAAACGCTGTCCATCTACACCACGGCGCTCTCCGGCGCCATCCCGCCGGAGCTGGAGAAATGCTCCAACCTCACCAACATCTACCTCTACGAGAACTTGCTGTCCGGCCCGCTCCCCCCCGCTCGGTCTTGGCCTGCCGCATGCGAGAAGTCGCTACTATGGCGTAATCGCTCTCACGGGCCCCATCCGGACTCCTTCGCAACCTCCTCACCTCGCTTCGTCTCGCTTGACCTCTCCATCAACTCCATCTCCAAGCACCATCCCGCCGTCATTTGGGGCGGCTCTCCACTGCCGCAGACCTCATGCTCGGTGACAACAACATCACCGACACCATCCCACGGAGCTCGCTAACGCCCGTTCTTTTTGGTGCATTGCAGGTCGACACCAACGAGATCTCCGGCCTCATCCCGCCCGATCTCGGCAACCGACAATGCTGCGGTGCTCTTCGGCATGGCGTAACCAAATGGTGGGTGCCATCCCACCTTCGCCGCCTCCCTCGCCAACCTCTAGGCGCTCGACCTCTCGCACAACCACCTCACCGGCGTCATACCGCCGGGACCTCTTCTCGCTCCGCAACCTCACCAAGCCGCCGCTTCCTCGTCCAACGACCTCTTCGGCCCGCTATCGCGGATCGGCAAGGTCAAAATGCGCCCGACCTCATCGCGCTGCGCCTCGGCAACAACCGCATTGCCGGGTCCATCCCGGCGTCCGTGTCCGACATGAAGAGCATCAACTTCCTCGACCTCGGGAGCAACAACCCGGGCTGGGCGGTGTCGGACGAGCTGGAAAGCGCTTGCGACTCTAGATGCTTGACCTCGGCAACAACATCCCGGACGAGCTTTGCGGCATCGACCGGCTCGACATCGCATTTGAACTTGAGCCAAACGGCCTCACCGGGCCGATCCCATCCAAGATCTCCGCGTTGAGCAAGCTCTCGGTGCTCGATCTCTCGTATAACACGCTCGACGGCAGCCTCGCGCCGCTCACCGGGCTCAACAACCTTGTCACGCTCAACGTGTCCAACAACAACTTCTCCGGGTACCTCCCAGACACAAAGCTATTCCGCGGTGTCGACGTCACGCCTCGCCGGCAATAATGCGGGCTCTGCACCAAAGGTGGGGACGTATGCCGTGTGAGCATCGACGCCAACGGTCACCCAAAGGATGAACATGGTGAAGACGCCCGGTAGCGTGCACCGCCTCAAGCTCGCCATCACGCTGCTTTAACCGCGACGGTGGCGATGGTCCTCGGCATGATCGGCATACTTGATGCGCGGCGGATGGGCTTTGGAGGAAGAATGGCGATGGCGGCGATGGCGGCGACTCGAGAGGCGGCGGCGGTAATGTGGCCATGGCGATTCACGCCGTTCGAAGGTGAGCTTCTCCGTCGACCGGTGGTGAGGAGCCCGGTGGACGGCAACATCATCGGCAAGGGCTGCTTTCGGGCGTGGTGTACCGCGTGAGCATCGACGACCTTTGGCGAGGTGATCGCCGTGAAGAAGCTGTGGCCCAAAACCACACGACCGCAATGGCGACATGCAAAGCGACGACGGCACGAAAGCGGCGTTAAGGACTCGTTCTCGGCGGAGGTTCGCCTGCCGGGCTCCATCCGGCACAAGAACATCGTGCGGTTCTGGGTGTTCTTTGGAACAAGAGCACACGGCTGCTCATGTACGACTACATGGCCAACGGCAGCCTGGGCGCGGTGCTCCACGAGCGACGCGGCGCCGGCACGCAGCTGGAGTGGGACATGCGCTACCGCATCGTGCTCGGCGCCGCGCAGGGGATCACTCTGCTTATTTGCACGCTCCAAACCAGGCTCACGCGTGGCTCACGTGCGCTCTGTCCACGCCACGTCGGCTAAAACCTTGTTCCGATGAGTTATGGACCTAAGTGGCATACTTAAACAACATTAGGGTGCCAGAAGTTTGAAAAGAGAGTTTGTGGACCTAAGTAGCACCCGAAGACAAGTTCAAGGACCTACGATGCATTTACCTCTAAATTTTACTACGTGATTTGGTATACATGCACTAAGTAACATGATAAGGCTTAATTTCAAGGATTAAGTTGAAACCATCTACTAAATACAATATAAATAGTTCAAAAGCCATGCCGATAGTTTAAATATAGGCATAAAAGAGTACCAGAGGCTTACAATGCTATTTTTTCAGACTATTTTATTCGACGCTTTTCAAGGAATATGAATGTCTTACTATATCTTCTTCATCAACCAGATCAACCACTGGTCTTCCACCACTGGTTCAACCTGATCAGGTGGAGGATTAGAATGTTCAACTCGCTATGAATGTTACCAAATAGCTATGAATGTAGAAAATAATTTTCTAAAAAAGACGAAGAGCAAAGGTTAAAAATTACCTAACCAAAATAGCGAATCAAGACGATAAGTCCCGACTGGCGCAACCGTATATTCTGCAGACAGGACATGGGAATTAGACGACGATCCTCCGATCCAGCATTCAGAGCATGGCGGAGGGCGGCAGAGGGCACTAGGGCCCGCGGCCGGCCGGGGTGTCACAGACTCACCTGTCAGGCGGCGACGCACGTGTTCCTCCGTGGCTCCCTGTCTGATCGAGATTAGATTAGGAAATTTGAAGAGTCGTAACAGAGCGTACGTACCGGACGTTTGGACTTTGAAGAATTGAAGTTCCCTTGCCACGTGGGCCACGTCAGTGCATCCTATGGGCCTCCCGTCGTTACGTGATGGTGTCCACGTATGGCCTCGTTAACAAAAAAGCAACCGAAAAAAAAAAGGCATGGATCAGAAACAGAGCGATGCCGGCATGGATCACGTACGTGTCATGACTAGATACTAGTGTTAGTGTTAGGTGATTGATCAACATTCCTTCTGATGTTTTTTTCTTCTTAAATAAATGAAGAGCGATGCCTGCCGTGCATCCGGCCACCGCCGCGGGCAGCGAGTTGAAGGCTTTAGACCCAGCAAAAGCGAACTCACGCAAACAAAGATAGGAGGACAATTACAAACCATATAATAAGGGGGAACTAGTCCATCTTGTGTACGTCGCCGTGGCGAAAAAAATTTGGGTACAGATGATCACCGGCGGCAAGCAGCAGCTCAATCGACATCTAGGCACGCAGGCCATCGCTTGCATGCATTAACCGGTGCCATGGAGGCAAACACTGCCTTCGATGGTGCTACGTACTATTAATTGTTGATGTTCCAGATGGTGATGACCCTGCCGCAACAGTGAATTCCTCGTAATGATGCACTGCATGCAGGTACAAATAGATCATTATACACATGCATACTATATTTTTTGAATGGTGTAGTTATTGGAACGGTTAAATATGTGTTTTTGTGCAGGAGAAACATGCCTGTGTTAACGTCCGTTGTCACAGAGAATCTCCTCCTGAGTTACCCGAACCAGTGGCACAACAAGCAGATCAGGTATGTGATGTCAGTTCATTGTTAGGCATGTAAAAAATCCGTACTGTAAATTAATGGTTACGTAACTTTAATGGTCACTCTATTTTACAATAGGAGGTTGATAAAATTGGAGAAACTTTGATCATTTCTGAAGTTGGTATGGTTTTCGATTAAGAGGACAAAGCTTACGAAGATGTACAATACCTATGCCGCTAAGATTGGGTTCAGTATGTGTATTAGAAAGAGTCATTCAGCTCGCCGAGAAGATAAAAGTATATATCAGAAATATATAGTTTGCAATAACGAAGGACATCGACGAAACCAGTCATCAACAAAAGACATTACAAGGACAGGCTGTGATGCTCGTGTTCAATTCAATGTTAGCAAAGAGGGAATTTAGAAAGTGCGGAAGGTTGCACTTGATCACAATCATTATCTTGCTAGTCTAAATAAGTTGCACAAGCTGAAGTCCCAAAGACGTGTTACAGAAGTAGACAGGATGCTAATTGGTCAGATAAGGAAACCAGGGATGAAGTCAGCCCAAGTGTATGAGTTCATGAATGAGTTTTACAGGAGGGCTGACAAAGTGCCATTATCAAGGATGGACTACAATAATGCAATTGGTTGTGAGCACAAGTACATAGAATCTAATGATGCGCAAACATTGCTGGAATACTTGAAGAATAAGCAAACAGAGGATCCTACATTTTTTATGCAATTGAAATAGATGAGGAAGATGGTCGGATAGTTAATTTCTTTTGGGCAGATGGTCAATCTATCATGGATTATGGATGCTTTGGTGATGCTGTGTCATTTGACACCACATTACAGACTAATAAGTTTGAAATGCCTTTTGCTCCAATCCTAGGAGCCAACCATCAAGGAGAATAATTTTTGGGGCTGCACTGATATTTATTAAGACTATTGAATCATTTGTTTGGCTCTTTAAAACCTTCCTAAAAGCCATGCCGGGCAAGCATCCAAACACAATCTT